CTCCAAGATGATAAATGCGCTGCTACCTGTCGAACTGGAGGCTCCGTCGAAGAAGATGGTCCATCGGTGCGTCCCATCCGGGGTACGGGTGAAGTCATTTTGTCCACTAATTCGGCTAGTACTCGGGCTTTGAGGGCTTTCCTGCCTTCATACTTTATGTCGAACTCGGAGAGTTCTAACGACCACTTGAGCCTTTTTCTCGCCATGTCTGGTCATTCGAGCAGCTACTTTATTGGTTGTTCTGTCTGAACGATGATTGTGTGGGCCAAGAAATAGTGTCTCAACCTCCTCTCCGCGTTGATAAGCGCTAAGGCTAATTTTTTTATCTTTTGGTATCTCACTTTGGGTTCTTGCAAGGATTTTATCATGAAGTAGATGGGATTCTGCCCTTCAGGGGTTTCTCGAATTAGGGAAGCGCTCACGGTTTCGGACGCAACTACCAGATAGAGATAAATGACTTCTTCCTTTTCTGGTCGAGAAAGTACTGGTGGCTGAGACAGTGATTGCTTAAGTGGACGAGGGTGTGCTCACACTCTTCTGTCCATTCAAAGGCAGTCTCTTTGCGGTATAGTTTGAAGAGGGGGAGTGTGTGTTGGGATGATTTTGCCACGAAATGAGAAAGTGGGGTGAGCACGATGTTCAGAATTTGATTGGATTTCTTCGAGTTAGGTGTTGGTAAATTAGAAAACACTCAGCACTTGTCGGGGTTGGCTTTGATTCCTTATTCCGTTAGGTAGAAACCGAGGAATTTGCATGCCCGTACGCCGAAGGTGCATTTTTCCAGGTTGAACCGCATTCTACATTTCCTTGCTTGTTCGAAAACTTTTCTGAGGTGGAGGGCATGGTTGGTTTCCTCTCGGGATTTTACGATCATATCATCCATATATACTTTGAGCATGTCTCAGATTTCTCCTCGGAAAACTTTGTTTATCATGCACTGATATGTAGCGCCCATGTTTTTCAGGGCGAAGGGCATTACGTTGTAGTAGTAGTTGCCTGATTCAGTCATGAACGTTGTTTATTTTTTGTCCGCTTTTTCCATGGGGATCTAGTTGTATCCAGAGTACGCATCCATGAAAGATAGTAATTTAAAACATGTGGAATTATCGACCAATTTGTCGATGTTGGGGGGGGGGGGGGGGGTAAGCGTCTTTCGGGAAATTCCAATTGAGATCAGTATAATCAATACACATACGCCACTTTCCATTATATTTTTTAATGATGACTACATTCGAGAGTCAGGTTGTGTACTGGGCTTCAGAAATAACATACGCCTTTAAGTGGTCTTTTACAGCCTGCTCGACAACCTCCATTTTTTCTGGATACTTCTTTCGCTTACGTCGAGCAACCGCCTTAAAGGAAGGGTCTACTTTCATATGATGACAAGCTATTTCTGGATCCAATCCTGGAATTTCAGCCCTACTCCAAGCGAACATCACCATTCTCCTTCAGGCATGCTTCCAGTTATCGCTTCTCTAGGTCGAGTAGGTTGGTTTCAATTGTCACTCCTCTAGAGGGGTCGCTCCTGAGGGGGACAATCTCGAAATTCCCGTCTGGGATGGGTCGCATGGGATGTGAGGGATCCTCGCTGTTTTTTGCTGGGAATGAGCTCTCTTCGTCGATCATGGGCTCTTTCCCATTTCTCTTCTGCTCTACGAGGTCTTCTTTCGAGAAGCAGTTGTCTAGGTCGATGGTGTCGACCCATGGCAGTGATATGGGTTCCTTGGAGCTAGAGGGAAGAGCAAATCCGCTGGCCGTTCGGGGTTGTGTATTGATGGAACTCAAGCCCTTGGTTGATGCTTCAAAACACCTTCTTGCGGCCTGGACATCTCTGCGGAGGGTGGCGACCAAGCCTTTAATAGTGTAGCACTTCATCTTTAGATGTACAGTGGAGGGCACCGCAATCAGCTTGGCTAAAGTGGGTCTTCTGAAGATGCATTGGTAGAATGGAGGGCAGTCCACCACCAAAAATTGGGTCCTGATGGCCCTGGCCATTATGCCTATCCCGAAGGTAAAATCAGCTTGACGTATCCCTGGGGTTTGGTGAAGGATATGTTGAACCCCTGGAGATCTGAGCCTATGTACGGGGTCAAATGGGTTTCATATGATTGTAGAGTGTTGAATAGCTTGGTGTATATTATGTCAACCAAGCTTCCCTAGTCCACCAAGATGCGCCAGACGTCAATTTTACTATGTGCGCCCGTACGAGGAGTGGGATGATTGAGTTGGGGGCCCACCCGACAGTTCTTCTCGGTAGAATGCGAGGGGATGAGAGACTCCCCTTAATTTTTCGAGCGATGCGTCCATGTCAGAGTTGTCCTTTATTAGTTGGTCGAACCTCCTCTTCACTAAACACACTGTGTGCTTGTTGAATCCTCCGTCGGAGATAACCATTGTCGCCGAGAAATATTCCTAAGGACTATACAAAGATAAGTAGAGTGGAACCTCTTCCATGTTGGGAAAATAGAAATCCTCAGGTCTTATGATGCTCATAGCAACCGGGATGATACTGGTGTCGGGGGACTCCTTCCCCTCTTCGACACTCTTGGCCTCTTGAGTCTCTTCGCGGGCACTTTCCTTTTTCTTGTATTGTTTGAGATGTCCATCTTGGATGCGTATCTCAATTGCATCTTTGAGGTGGATGCATTCGTCGGTGTTGTGCACATGGCTTTGGTGGAACTTGCAATATTTGCTTTTATCTGTCCCAGGCTTGGACAGTGTTTGGCGGGGAAAGCATACCCCGGCTTTCTTGAATTCTGAACTAGCGCATTCTTCCAGAATACACTCACGAGAGGCATTGAGGGGGGTGTAATCATGAACACGACCAATTGTCCCTCGGTGGTCTTTAGAGTCTTGGGATTAATCTTCTCTCTTCTTCTCTCCTCCTTGACGGGATGTCGATGGTTCATCGTTCTTCGTGGTCTTGGAATTCTCCCGGTGCCGTGAGTCCCTTGCATTATTAGTGGCATCTTTCTCTTTGTACTGAATGTACGTATGGGATTTAAGTAGGAGAGAGTCGAGTGTTTCTGGAGTCTCGATACCAACAGCTTTGGCAAATTCACTGCGGGGACACAACCTACGCTCGAGGAGATATTTTTTCATGTCGTCGACCGTGGAGGCATGCACGGCTTCCTTGTTGAAGCGCTCGATGTAAGCCCGAAGAGACTCATACCTCGCTTGGATGATTGCTTCTAGTGATGCTTCTGACTTAGGATGTCGACGAGAGGATGTGAAATGCCTTGAGAACATCTTCCCAAAATGCTTCCAGGAGGTAATAGACTCGTCTAGAAGGCTTTTGTACCAAGACATGGCACCTTTGCTCAGGGTAGTCGAGAACAATTTTCACTTGATGGCGCCCCTCATTCCTCGGTAGTCAAGGAGGGCGTCAATATTCTCTATGTGTTCGTCAGGATCAGTCGTATTATCATACAACCCCAGTGGGTGTGGCTTCTCCAGGATGATTATGAGCTGGGTCTCTGTAATCTCTCTTGATAACGGACCGCAGGGCTCGTCATCGTCGCTTCCTTCAGGAGATGGAGGCGGGGAATGGTGGTTCCTTCCTCGTCGGACATCATTGTCCTGTCGGGGAGAAGGACTTCTTCGCTGTTGCCTGGGCTTGGGCGACGGTGATCAGTCGCGGTCAAGTCGGCGGTCTCTCTTTGTCTTCTTGGAAGATGTAGAGCCTTGATTTTTCTTGGGAGGTATGCAGTCGCACTTATTGAGGAAAGAAACGTCATGCTTCTCACTTCTGGTCGGACGACCACACCTAGGTGGGGATAGGCTAGGGGAGTCGTATCGTTAGTGTCTCCGAGGAGGAGACTTTGAATGCTTCTTCTCCCGAGCCCATATCCTCTTGCTCTGCTGCAGGATAAGGGTGTTGGTATGGTTGAGGACAGCGAGCAATACTGCCATGATTGGGTCGGTGTTCTAAGGAATGAGAACTGGTTGCAGAATCTCCGGCAGTTCCTCGATAGGGTTCTTGGGATGCTACTCGTCCAAGAACTGATGGTCGTTGCGTTGGGCGCTGATTGAATCTGGGGATGCAGTTTGTCCGTCTCTGACGTCGAAATCATCCTCGAGGTGAGGATGCTCCTGGCTTCCGTTGGCCTTGTGGACCGGAGTGAGTAGAGTTTTTCCAGAGAGGTGATGATCATCATGGTCGGTCATGATTGAAGAATTGAAGGTATCTTTAGTCTTCAGTTCACGGGGAAAGAAAATGGGGAAGATGGTTTCTCACAGATGGTGCCACTGATCTAACTGGTTAATCAGAACCTGCAAATGGACTAAAGGATGATATATGGCTTGTTGGAAAGTTGAGGAGAAAGGGTGGTTCTACCTGCAAGGCACTCCGACGATCAAGTGAAAATGGGTGCAAAGAGATACAAGCAGAATATTAGAGTTTTAGTGATGAATATTGGATACCTAACCCTCACAAGTGTGAGGGTTAATATAGTTCCCCCAGCGCGTAACCATTGGTCCCTATTTTTGGTCCTAGATATGCGGGTCTACAAAAATAGCTAATTGTCAGGACTGGATCAAAATAGGCAGTCGTTCCCAATAACTAGTCGTTGCATCGAACAAGGTCGAGATGACAGGAAGAAGCGCTCATGAGCATTTCCTGGGCGTCTGCTCCTCGTGTGTCGAGCAGACTGAGAGGTAGTTGCCCGCACGGGCAAGCGTACATTTTGGACATTGTTAGTCGCGTCGTTCAAGGGCGTGGTCGACCATAATGCTAGGCCAACATTATTGGGCCGTGCCAAAGGTCTAATCGGATTGGGTTAATTATAGTTGTTCGGTCAGTCCATAACAGAAGGTATTATGTGTCATACTCCAAATTTGTCCTACCCTTTAATACTTTTATCTGGTTTACATATCACATATTCCTCATGCACATTCCCTCCATTAGGTCATCTAACACATCATGCATTCACTAACAAGGCTTGACAGTTGAATCAATGGTCATGGGATTAGGGTCTCGTATTGATGCTAAGGTTTTCATATTTTGGAAGAGAAATTTATTTGAAATATATGAAGTTTTATTGGATTCAAGGTTCATTACAAGGAAAACTATGCCTTACAAAAAAAAAACATCATCTTTATTACAAGAGGTTCATAACATGGAAGCATTACACCAAAAATTAAAAAAAAAAAAACACATCCTAAATGCCCTGGTTCTAATCTTCATGCATATAAGCCTTCAAATACTCCATAACCGATGTCCATCTTTAATCATTCTTCAAGTTCCAAGAGCCAATCCTCATGATTATTGCACCACTATGACTTCTTTCTTTGACTTTATATCTTCATCCAAATTCATAACTATGCCATCTCCATGACCTGCATATCCAAAAGAAATCACAAACAGCCATACATTTTAATCCAAACTCGCCTCTAACATGCTCCAATAAGCAAAAAAATAGTTCAGATGAAAAAACAGATGAACAGAAATACATGTTCAGAACAGAGCTATAAAATCATCATCACACCAGCCACCCAAACATGCCATGTTCATGCTCATTTGACTTCATGGCGTTATGCATTCAAAAGAAAGACAAAGCTAGCAGAGCACAATTCAAAGGCAACATAGATTCACGTTTAAACTCATGTAACAGAACCATAACCAGTTCACATACCAGAACCGGACATCATCAATGCAATGAAGAAAATTGTTGCTCATGGCTACACTGAAGATGTTGCTACAAAAGCTATGTTAAGGCCTGGCACCTGTTAGAATATACACAAGATCACATGTGCGTAATTTCAGAAGCAAGACAACTCAAAAACATAAAACAGTTCATAAATCTATACATCAATACACCATCGTCACAAAAGAATCTGAAACAGAGGCATACGCATACGAGAATGTCAGTAGATTTCACGAGTTTTTTATTAAATTCAAATCGACACAAAACAGTGAAGCAAACATGACACATAAAGGGAAGTCGTTTCAATCCAGAGCCTATTTCAAGAGGTCCAAGTATGATTCAATTCGCGTCATTTAAAAAATAAAAGGGGGGGCGATGGAGCATGTGAGTGTGACCATAATCTGTGTGAAACCTCATCTCAGACTACCATAGAAAAAAAAAAGAGTTAACATCTGAGGCAGAATGTTGAGCATGTTTCAGAATTCATGAACCAACTGGTTTCGCAACCCTCACTTTGTGTAACTGTTCTAACTAAACTTCACAAACCTATAAATAACTAATTCAGCAGTAGACTAACACTTCACTACACTTACAATCAACAATCTAACTGTCACCTAACTAGTTTTTTAACCAACATAACTAACTACCGGCTCAACCTAAGCCTATTCAACCAACTTGCTAACTAACTTTTTCTAACACAGTAACTACGTTTTCTGCTAACTAACCGCATCAGTTGAATCACAGAAACAACAGAAGAAAGTTACCAAAGCAGAAGATTTACTTACAACTCAAAAGAAAATTATCATAACTAACCTTCAAATGACTTAATCCCCACCATTCAATCCATAACAAACTCTCCAGATCCAATGGCCAGAACTTCTTCATCTGTAACAAACTTTTGAACTCTCATCAAACTATATATGCTACTGCTCCTTCTCCAGTCCTCATTCATCACAACTCTAGAGAAAATCCAGATATTCCATTACACTACTCGCTCTCTGAACCACCACACGCACCTTTTCTCTCATCTCACCATTTTTCCAGTTTCCCACTCTCACTCTCACCCTCACTATACACTCGTATCTCAGAGGCCATTGAAGCTTCTCATCGAGGCTTCAATCGGTTGAGCTTAACCATCACCTTCATTACTCTCTGCAACTTTCAACGAATATCTCGGATTCTTATCAATCTACTTCAACAACAACAATCACAAATCGCTGCTCTAACCTTCTTCAACAACGCATCAATTCTTCACCTCCCTCTGCTCAATTCGCGACGCAACAACTCAGAAATTCAGAAGAAGAGAAGAAGAATATTCGGAAGGAAAAGTGAAGAAGAAGCGTAAAAGGTGAAAACGAGTGTTTACCTGAAGATTATCCTCTGGTTTTCTTGTGCTATCGGCATCGTGGAAAAGTCACTGGAGCTGCTCCGGTAGGTAAGTCTTAATCTCTGATCATTCGTCATTGTTTTCGTTCTTGCATCATATCATGACGAAGCCTGCGACCTCAATAACATCCCCCCTAAGGTCTCGCTTCAAGATTTTGTTGCCATGACCGTTTTAGGTTTTAGTGTTCGTACTGATATTGTTAGATGTAGGAGAAATCAAGAAGAATTGGTGGAAACGAAATAAGGATTTGGAATTAGCAGAGGAAGACGAAGGGAAACGTGCCTCCGGCGCGGCGGAGCGAGCCCCGGTGGTCTGAAGGAGAAGACGGAGAGAGAGATAACAGATTCTGTCTAGGAAGCTAGAACATCACAAGTCCTTAACCCTAACTTCCTCCCAAAACGCCACCGTTTCCGTTTTCCATCATTTTTTCTTTATTTCTTTTATTTTTTTAATTGAAATAATAAATATAATGGGCTGCAATGAAAATAATAAGTAATTGCCATTGTTGGTGAAGAAATTGGACTCATGCTGGACTGAATTCCATTCCTTAAGCCCATTGATTTTTTTTGCATTACTCAACTTATGTAACAAAATGCTCATGATTGGTTTGATGAGCCTAGCGCCAGGCTTTACTGCTACACCCCTGGATCTACTTGCACCCCATAGTTTATTGTACTTTATTTTTCCTTTTTAATAATTGTTTCTAATTGTTTTTTTTTTCGATTTTATTTTTCTTCACTTGATAAAATGAAAGTTAATAGAATAGATTTCTTTTAGTTTGAATAATTATTTGTGTGATATTGCCATGATCCCTAGGAGAACTCCATTAAGCGATTAAACTTCGTTTGATCGTTTTATGTCAAGTTAGACCTTAAGATTTAATCCAAGCATGATAAAGATAGGATTTCTCATCCCAACTTTAGGTCCACATTGCATGCCAACATTAGGATTCTAGTTTCCCCTAGATTTTCTTTATTTTGCATCTCTTAAAACCAAAACATTTTCTTAAGCATATTCTAAAACATATAATAAATATGATACATACAAATACATCACGAGCCTTAAGCCCATGTGGAGTACTTTTAATATGAGGCGTCTGACTCGACCATCTAAAAGTCTCTCATGTCAAATATTTTAGTATTATATGTATCTCAAACAATTTCATAAATAAAGGGGGAGTAATCAGATACCTTCGGCCTTAGAGGACCATCTGAGATGTGCGCATAACAAAACACAAACAAATCAAACGTGGCACCTTCCCTTGAGGGTGTAACTCAAAATTGTTTCAAAAGGGTTCGTTACCCATAAAAAGCACACAAAAAACTAACATTTTTAGGTGAACTATGAGTGCCCTGACCTCTCATTGCACGAAGAGGGTACGTAGGCACAAAGGTTCGCAACTACGGCGATCACAATAAATTAAAACCTTTATTTTTCCCTTAATCAATTCATGTATGCATTCTCTTAGAAAGTAAGAATTAGATACAATACACCCTTTGATTAGAACAACAAGAGTGGATCTCGTGGAGTACCATGGACGTAAGGGGTGTTAATATCTTTTACTCGCGTAACCTACTTTTGTACCCTTTCTCTTGGTTGCAAGACCATTTTATCCTTTCTTTTGGGGTTTTCTCGATATTTTCCCTTCCTTCGGGATAAATAAATTTCGGTGGTGACTCTATGTTTTTTCGCGGTGCAACAATTGACGACTCTGCTGAGGAAATCCTAAGCAAGTCAGCCTTAGCTTTTGTTTGTTTATTTTCATTGGGTGTTTATCTTTATGCTTCAATTATTGTGTTTATCTTCATGATTTATTTATTGTTTATTTATCGCATGCATTGCATTTTACTGCTTTCCATATACTGGACTGTGCTAGTTGCTGGATTTTCTGTTTTTCAGGTTGGGTGGGATGTTACTATTGAGGTAAAAGGCCCAGTACCCAGGCCAATGTTCACCTAGGATTAGAGTGGATAATGATCTTACTGGTTGATCAGAACCTGAGAAGTGGTGAAAGATGATCCGTAGTCGGGCTGTGAAGTCAAGGAGAAAAGGGGGTTGTACATGCAAGGCACTCTAACGATCAAGTAAGAGTGGGAACAAGGAGGTACAAGCAAAGTATTAGGTGGTGAATGGTCAGTATTCGATACGTGGTCTCACAAGTGTGAGGGTATATATATATTACCCCTTGAGCGTGGCCATTGGTTCCTGATTTCACGCCTGGATATGCGGGTCCGTGAAATTAGGTAATTGCCAAGACTTGGTTAAATCGGGCTGATGAACTCGTAACTGGCCGTTGGTCCCGAGGAGGGGTCTAGTTACGGGCATCTCTCTGGTCAGTTTCTGGTGGCTTGCACGATGTTGATGTCGAGCAGGCTGAGAGGATGATCGTTGATCATCCCAGGCCAATCCTGAATCGGGGAGGGCAGATGGCTGACATTGCCCGACAAGTAGCGGGTATTCCGGGTTATGGTTGTGTGGGCCGCACCTAAAGAGATCTCTTAGACCGGGCCCAGTCAAGCTGTCAGTCCAGTCTAGAATAATAGCCCCTTAAGTTGTTACTTCTGGGCACAAGAGTGATGACTTTAACATCTGCTCGTGGAACGAGGCGTGTATGATGGGGAAATAAGTGTTACCCATTATGCCTTACTTGCATGGAGGCGAGACGTTGGTCGTTAGAACTTTTGAATTTGGAGAGGTAGTGTGTTCTGGGAAGCGTGCTAGCGAAGTGGCGCAATGATGACATATGGCTAAGGTGTAATGATGATGACACTAGGGTTCCCCAGGCGCGCAGATTGTCTCAGCTATAAATACGAGAGGAACATGACGCTTAGTATTTTTCTCCTTCTCACTCAACTTCTTGTATTAACTCGACAATCGGCCACAATTGTTTGTTGAGTTGCTCTACTTGCATCTTCTTACTTCCATCCTTTCTTCTTCTATTAACTGGTGAGTTTCTGATCCTCTATTGTCGTTCACTTTCGTATTTTCGCTTTTTATTTTCTAGAGATGCATGCGGTTAGCATTTAGGGTTCCTTTAGGGAGGATGCCGTTGGAGATCGTTGGTGGTAGACGGCGTTTCTGTGATTTAGAATCGCCGTAGCCGTTGTGGGGTCTCCTTGGGGATCTCGTGGTGCATCATAGATGGCTCATTAGGGCTTTTTCTGCAACTCATGCTCGTTGATACATCTCAATAAGGGTTCTGGTCGGGGGATATTATCCTTATTTCCCAGTGCCCTTTCGCTTGTTTAGCGGTGGAAGGGTGGTTATGGCATTGATGTCGATCTCATATTTTTCCTCTGATTTTTTGGTGTTATGGCTGACGATGCTCGTGTAAATATTTCGAGCGAATCTACGCAGTCTTCTGAGAGCTCTTCATACGAGACAAGCAGCTCGTCGAGCAACCTGGAAATTTTCGGGGATATGCAGAATCAGATGGGGCAGCAAGCGGGGGAACCTTACGTGGAGGTGAATTCCGCTGAACAGGGTTGTCTGTTTCCTCCTGGGGACGAGGAGAAGCCTCGGGATTGGGTCACGAATAATCCTTGGGACTGGCCGTCATATTTTTACGAGCACTGGGAGGATGTCTTAACAGACGTATGTATACACTCACGAGGAGGCGGCCCAAGAGGAATGGTCGTTATACATCCCTAGGAAGGAGAGAAGAATCTTCTCAAAATAAGACCGGAGGCGAATCCCAATGTATGACATCATATTTTGAGAGATGGGTCTTCGCCTCCCCTTTTTCAACTACGAAGTGGTCGTTTTCAGGCATTTGCGTGTGGCTCCCTCCCAACTGCATCTGAATGGCATCGCATTCATGCGAGCGTTCAAAATAGTTTTCGACCATCTGAAGATAGGGGCCATCATTCTATTGATCTTCTACTGCTTCCACCTTCAGAGGAGCAAGGTCGACGGAAAGTGGGGATGGGTTTTCCTAAAGCAAGGCAATGGGGAGTTATTTAAAGCCTATCTGGAATCCGTCCGCCACTTTAAGGACAAATATTTCTTGGTGTAGTACTCCTCGACTAAGGCGATGTTGAACGTATTTAGGATTACGCCGGTGCAAAATGAGGATGGCACTCCCCGTCTAAACGAGCTAGGGGAGCCCACTGTGAAGCTGATTTATAAATTCTCATTCAAATGGACGAGGAAGCTTTTTGACAGAGAATTGGGCTCCTATGTTTGGAGAGATGGGGCGCTCGGAGATGAGGATCTGGAGAGTTTCACTACCCTGACCGCATTCGTGGCTCGAATCCCTCGGGTCCAGCGAGTTGGTCAGGGAGGAAGGTATGTGTTGGACAAGAATGGGGAGCCCGTATATGAGCCGGGCCTCATAAACATCAATGAGCTCCTCGGAAGCGAGGACCTTGTTAAATACTTTGGTATATATGTTTATAATAGTAGTAAGTGGTCGTTGTTTGTTTGACTCCTCGTTTTACTGACTGTTTCTTTTATTTTTTTTGCAGGTAGCATGAATCCTGCTCAGGAGCATTTGGCTAAAACTCTTGCTGCCAGAGCGAGGAGGGATTTAAAGGATGCGCGGACTGGTACGGGGCTGGCTCCTGCCTCTAGGTCGGGAGACTCATCCTCGACTCAGGCCACAGTCACTCTCTCTCGTGCTGCTGTTTCCTCGAAGGAGAAGAGACCGCGAGCTAAGGGGAGTGTCGATCTAACTGGGGAAAAAGGGAAAGGAACGTACGACCTGCCTCATTGCTGGCTAGAGAAGACTTTTTTCAAGGG